AAAAAAAAAAACCCATAAAGGTAAAACAGTAGTGTACATACAGTAGTAATTTTTTTTTGCAATTTTGTTTCTTAATTCTCAATTGTGACTTAATTCTCATCCTCATATGATCAGGTGAATCTGAATTCTGGCACTAATATCCTGTACTGGAGAACTACTAGAGCCACACTCGGCTCTAAAGCAGTCAAACCTGTAGTCTTGAAGAACATACGGATTGAAGGTCAGAATGTGCTAAGATGGAAGTTCTCCATTTTAATGTGAAAGAATTGTATAGTTGAAAGATTATATGATGCCATTTCTCTCCTTCAGGTGTGGCGTACACATCAGAATGTTTTCCATGTAACCCTGGGACATTCAGTTGCGCCCCGGGCTCCTCCTCCTGTGAGCCCTGTCCACGGGACACGTACTCTGGCCGAGGGGCCAGCTCCTGCACACCTTGCAACACAAAAACACACTTCGCTTGTAAGTGCATACATGCATATAAAGCACATAAACTGATATATTTACACATACTGTATTTACTTTACTGTTTGTTTTACTTTTCTAAAATACATTAGGCAAATATTTAAACAATTTTATTTGCATTATTTCAATTATTGAATTTAATTATTATAAATCAAATGCATCAATTCAAATAGTTTTTGCATCGAAATCTAAGGAATCAACCAAACCCCAAAGATTCACAAATTCATAATTTGGACCAAGAAATTAACATCAGAATGAGGAAAACTCCACAACTTTATCGGTCCCGTGTAATATCTCCTTCTACACTTATTCAAGCCTCAAACATGCTTTCACTCATATTACATTAACCTATCCTTTTTATTAACTCTTTGAATAGTTTTGCTTGTGTTAGGCTTGTCTTCCAGTTCCAAACTCTTCACGTCTGTGAGGTATGCCTCTTCTGTATCTTTAACAGCAGAAGGCTCTGCCGCGTGCAAAAGTAGACCGCCATGCTCAGAAAAAGACTACATCCAGACATACAGCACCTGTGATAAGGATGGAAAGGTAAAATAATTTAGTAAAAAATGCAAAACAACTAGCACTGTATTTCAGACGAAGCAACATTTATTTATTTTTTTTATATATACTCATGCTGTAACACACACAC